TGGCTGACGTGTGTCGGCGAGTGATGAAGTTACAACGAAAGGGTTGAGTTGAGAGGGAGCAGAAGGTGTGCGTCGCAACCCCCTGTAACTGGCTTTTTGCTCATTTGCTCATTGTAGCAAGACAGATCGAAAGCAGACGTGTGATATATTTGAATTGCGTACGATTATCATTGACCGATCGTTTTTTTTTTTTTTTTTTTTTTTTTTTTTTTTTTTTTGATGCTCAAGATTCATAAATCAAGACCACATTCGAACATACGCCGCAAATGCATAAGCTTCACTGACTTCATTCTTTTCAATATCCTTCGAAATTTTAGATTAAAAGTCCTTGGTGTTTGGTGAACCTCGTAAATCCCTATCCTTCCTTCATAATCTTTATATAACTTTCTTACATACTCAATAGCGTTAATGAATTCACGGTAGACATCTATCGTTGCTTTAAATATCTGGTATTAATGTTACATCATCTCAGTCAATGCAACGTGGTAGAAAAAACAGCTTTAAAAGATTTTACAATTGGCTTGCTTTTTATATTAGGGGGATTGTAGGGTGCGAATATGTCATTATCATCTCATATTATTGTGTGTACGTGAATGTGGCAGTCGTTAAAAAGCGGAATTTATATATCACTATGGAGAAGGAAGAGTATCAAATACAAATTACTCGGTTATTCATTTAATCGAATGCATTAAAATTGCAGCTCTATTTAGTATTTTCAGATTTTATAACAAAATCAATTTGTATGGTGAATTTGTAAGATTTTTACATGTAGATTCGTGAATGTGTACGATCAATCTTTATGGTGAAATAAAATTATTTAAATTTATCTTAACATTAATGATAAATAGGTGATTATTATTGCATTGATAGTTCATTCATTTTTTAAATTTTTTTATTGGAAACGACACAGTTTATTGCCTATTTTTCTGTTAAAAAAAAGTTGGTTAGTGTAATTGTAGGACTTTACTTTTTTTTTTTTTTTTTTTTTTTTTTTTTAATAAATGCACTTTCTATTTAAAATACGCATTTATGTACATTAAAGTGATTTAAAGCGTAACCTATTGTAGCTACAAGTGACACATTCACTAAATTATTTAGCGTAATATTATATTACTGACCTCCTTCAATTGTATAATAGTTAAATTCATGATAAAATTGACCTTAAATTTCTATAAATTTTTATGATTTAGAATTTTGAATAAAAAAAATTTGTACAATTTTTTACAATTTTATTAAATTTATTCGTCAATTTTAATAATGTTTTAAGAAAATTCAATAAATTGTTTAACGTTTCATTTTCATAATTGTAACTTAATTTTTATCAATAAAATGAAATAACATTATCCGTGTGTGTATGCGATTGTTTAACTTGACGTTCTAATAGACAAAAGTAATCTTGAATTATATGAGTTCGAGCACGATTATCGTCCGTGACCAAAAAATAATAGAATCATTGCTCGCCACAGATCGCCCGTATTCATCTCAATATTACTGACAAAAAAAAAAAAAAAAACAAAGAAACAAAAAAAGAAGAAGAAAGAAGTATGACACACGTAAGGGAGTTAACACCGATACGCACGAGGGTGCAGTGGCCACAATGACATTTGAGGTAATATCGCGGTTCTGCAAAAAGTCATGTTTACGAGTTGAAGATGAAAAAAGGCAAAAACTTTTCAATTGCACTCACTCGCGCCCCATAATTTAAAGGGGCGAGTGTCGGAGAACGTCATCGCACCCCAATGGTCATGGTAATTCAAAACATGCTGGGTAGCATTCAAAATTTCAATTGTGGCAAGTGTTTTGAGCAGAATTTAAAAAAAAGCAGAAGGAACAGTGACAGCTGTCAGGGTGGACTTGACAGACCGGAACTGTAAGCCGGAGTGTGATAATGCTCCGAGAGGAAATTGAGTGATCGACGCGCTCGAAAATTTTATTAACGGTTTCATTTAAAGTGTTTGCCCTCCATGCCCGCAATTCAACATTGACCACACATTAATACGCCTCCATTCAATCATTATGCTACACTCGTCTTATGACTTTCGTTCAAGCCATCACAATGCCATATGCATCGACGACGAGAATTAAAATAACGACTCTTATAAAATTATTATGCGTCGCAAATTGTATCTTTACAAATGTAAATAAATCTTTCATAATAAAAATGCTATTCACCATTATATCTAGATACAGCCAGATTTGTTACATTATTCATTTATATCATTTTTATTTACTAATATTTACATTCTAATGGAAAATTTCCTCGTACAAATGATTTATAAATTAACAAAAAATGGATTTATTTATATAATATTTATTTGCTTATTTAAACAAAGGCCCATTTATTTATATTATATCAAGATATTTATATTGTGCATATTTATAGAATAAAAATTTATATAATACAAATTCGCTATGCGAACGAACAATTTTATCATTTGGCTTTAATAAACTATTGATATATTCTTAAATTCCATATTCAGATTTATTATTTGTGATAAAAACAACAACAACAATTATGTATTGACATTTTCAATTTATTGTTGAATTTTTACGAACTTATTTTTTTATAATTTATCAACGGTACTATAATTCATCCATTATTTTAAAAGCTTGCACTTTAAAAAAAAAAAGTACATACATTGATAAATTAATGAAAATGTGTGAAATAAAAAAATTGACTATTTACATTAATAAAAAAAGTAAATAAAAAGTAGCTTGAATCCATATACCGAATAAAAACTTTTGCAGTAAATAATATAATAATGAATTCAAGTATATTTTGTTTATATATATATAAAGATAAATATAAAGTTTATATTTATTGTACACACATTTAGTCGCGCTTAAATAGTAGAAAAAGGTATTTTTAATCCTCCCTAGTCTATAAATATATATATTTATATATTTATGTAATTTTATAGTGTTTTATAATGAGGAATTGAAGCTCAATTAATATAGTATAATGAAGCAATTTTCATTTTTATTTTGTAGGAACAGCTGACCTATAATCATCATAAATTTTCTGAATACTATTAACGCATTTGTTCAAGTGCGATGTTAATTAATTTGAATGGCTCGATAAAATAGTGCAATCAATGTATAAAATATCACTAGCGACAATCATTGTAGATGTTTAAGTACGCTTGCCTTATACGAAGTTTTATTTGTAACCAAATCAATGAATATAAGAAATATTATTGAAAACACATGGACAATTGTTTTTGATATGATTTATGATTATTTTAAAGTATTTTAATCGGATAAACCATTGCTACGACATCGAGACAAATATGCAATTGATGCCACAGACAAAATTATATTTAATTTATTACATTTAATTAAAACACTGATATTATATATTTGAAATATGAAATAATACATCACAGAAAATTATTAATCATAAATAATAGTTCTGCGGTGATTTCTACTTTTACACAAAACTGCGTACGTAGATTTGCGAGAGAGCATTTCATTAATATCGTAACATGATAATAATACACGAATTAGTTAAATAATACTTGTTTTTACCTAAAAGTCATATCCTTATAATGACATAAATTACCTTTCTACAAGTATAAAAGCAATCGTTCGAATAGTCTGGTATGAAATTTCAAAGCTTAACCGTCGTATTTATTTATCTTTAAGATAGATAAAAACATAAGTTGGAAAATCATTGTAATAACTTGAATAATAAGTCTATATAGACTAAAAATCAGTTAAAACTTTTAAAAAATTCAAAAGAAGACAATGATATTGGTCATTTTTATTTTTTATTTTTTATTTTAATTCTATTAACGCTTTTGCAGCTCTCTTTCTTTCACGTTTATAAATTAATAAAACTAATAACATTCATAATGCGTTACTTTCTGTTGAAGAAGCATTTTATATAATTTAATTTACTCACTAACAATAATAACAAAGAATTAAATAAATATACATATATACCTAAAGTTAGTACATTACTTAAATAAGAGAATTTCAGTTTACATAATAATTATACAACATCAGAAATACTAGTACAAGATTTAAATATTTCAAGGTAAATTTGAATCACCATGAAAAAAGGGTAAAAGGTTGATGATATATTTTATCGTTACCAGCCTACGCAACGATCTATCCAACCATTGTTCACCGAGCCGTGACAGAAACAACCAACGCACCGCAGCAAATACATTGTAAACGTGAGAAACAAATTAGCCTAAAGCGTCAGTTTTATTATTATTATACTATTTCCAAAAAAAAAAGACAACCGAAGGTGTAACGGTAATGATTAAATAAAATAATAATAATAATAATAATAATACGGCACACGCAAGACATCGTATGTTATGCACCGACCAGATTCATCAAATAAAAAAGTCAAATTGAGATATAAATAAATTACAATGATGTGCTCGCAGGTGGCCGGGGGTAAAGGGAGAGGTAGGGGCAAAAGGGCACGACACTTGGTCGAGGATTAGGGAGTGAACGAGCGAGCATCTCGATCCTCGGTTTTGCCGTCTCCCCGCATCCAAAGGGCTCATGTCGAACAAAGGAATGCCTGGTGGTAGTAATCTTTGCTCCCCGAGTCTTCTCAATAAAAGTCCTTGGTTTATGGATCTTTTACCTACTCTCTACTTCTCGCCTCGACTTTAGTCTGCGACGTCTTGTTATAAGATCGACGACAACAGTTATGAACATTGTGTTGACACGGAGTTTACGTCCGAATCGTTTATTTTATTTTTTTATGGAGTTTATGAAAAAATCTGTGGGCTTTAAATGTTTGTTCGATGAAAAATAAATTTGAAGTTATATCGTCGCATACAGCTAAGAAATGCATTTATACATATTTATTTATATCTACATATTATATATATATATATATATATAAGTGTAGATAAATATAAATTCTTTTTTCTTTTTTGATAAAATCCATTATATACCGCATTTATCTAGCATAATATAAAGGAGATATAAATGAAGAGAAAGATAGTATTTTTGGTACGAAATTGTCAGACATGTCTCAAAAAAATTAATTTTATTGTAAACGTTTATACAAGTTATAATATACGAAATGACGCGCCCACACGCACACGCATATATATATATATATATATATACGCGCGTGTGTGTATGTATGTATTATTAGTTTTTCTTTCAATAATGATAACAGCGTTAAGTTATAAGTCCTTATAATATTGCTTGGGATCCTCGCCATGACGTAATTGTATGATGGCCTGTTGTACAAGTGTCGGTGCCCTGTAATTATAAAAAAAAGACAATAAAATGCTAGGACACGCTTCGCTTACTATAATGAGAGATATTATTTATGCCATTAATTAAATGTATGCATCGTCCAGTTATCGAGGAAATAGCAAAAAAAAAAAAAAAAAAAAAAAAAAAAGAAAAAAAAAAAAAAAAAAAAAAAAAAAAAAAAGAGAGAAAGAGAAAAAAGAGAAAAAATTGGCAACGCCACTGACGACGTTACAACCAACCTGTGTAAGCATAACCAATTCATCTTGGGTATCGACAATTTTTACGGGGAATGGTGAGCCGGGTACAAGAACTCCGGCCCACCTGACTTCCACGCGGTAGTCGCCGGGCTCGGTTGGGTCGTAACGGCACAGAATAATCCGGTCTTTCTGGGTCTCCCTCTGCATCTCCACTCGAAAGGCCCCCTTGGGTCCGCGTACCCTCACCGTCAGTTGACCTGCTCCTGCGCCCCTCGTATCACAGATGAAACGTGACTGAAAGGTCGCCAGGACGCCATGCTCAATCCCTGGGCCGTAGACCCTCACCTGTACATTCGAATAATTCGGCCTCTTTAAAGGATAAGGATATTCGTGATGCTCGTCCCGACAAAGATACGTCCCAAGACAGGAAAAATAATAAAATTTCTGTTTGCCAAGTGACCAATAACATGGCACTCCTGCAAAGCTAATATAACCCTTGACGAACACGCTCGATTGCAATTCGCTTAGCCGTACCTTCGATGCATCGGGTGCTCCCGAGACTTTTAACGTGAACGGGGAGCCTGTCACGTGTTCACCAGCGTACTTGATGGTCAGGGCATGTCTGCCGGATTCTTGTGGCTTAACGTTTAATGTGAATGTCGCGTCCCCGTGGTCGTAGAGCTCGCAATACGCAACTTTGTGTGGACCGACGCAATGGGCCGTCAGTTCACCTGTGAATTTTCGGATTCGGCATTAGTCATGACTAAGGCTTCTATACCAATTATTTAACGAGTACAATAGCATCGCATTACATACCTGGTCCCGCTCTCCTAGTATCTATGAAACTTTTTATTTCCTGCCCGACTACTCCATACTTTAATCCTTGGCCCGAGCAGACGACTCGAGTCGCATCGGCTGCGCTCGACACGCTAATTTGTAAAGGACATCCTTTCAATTGTCGTCCATTCCACGACACCGTCATCAGCAGTGGCTCTGATGTAAATGGCGTGTAGCTTGCGCGATAAACACTGTTTCCTGTCAAAGGTCAAGGATGGATTGTCTCGATGAATGTATGGGGCCAAGATAAATAATACGAAGATTTATGCTTTCTTGAAAAAAAAAAAAATAAATAAGCCCACGGCTCGTTTATAACATTACGATTCGGTAATTTTCATATATTTTTTCTCATACTCGTTAAATTTTACATTCCACTATCATTAACGTAAGCTCTAAAGAGTCATTGGGGTTCAAAATATTTTTCAATGGCACGTTAAGTGTCAATGCTAATTCGTAAAATATTTAGAAAGGAACAGCAGTCATTTTTTTTTTTTTTCAAGCATCGGCTTATTAAATTACCTAAATGCTGTAAAACTACGTCGACTTCGGTCGTGGGTGAAAAAATTTGCACTTGTGGAGTCCCGGTGCCAGCTTGAGAGCCATCGATCGTAAAGCTCACTTGTTCGCCACATTTGGCGGAAGTCAGACCTCTGCCTCTCAGCATTACTCTACTTGAATCTTGAACTATTGGAGACTGAGAAGAGAGTGAAAATTAAAATTTTCCATTGTATTATAATAAGCGAGCGTGACGTTGCCTATCGATAGAGCATTGTTTTCTTATTCTTGCAGATCAATTTTTTTTTTGTTTTTTTTTTTTTGCCTAAGATTTTTCGCACATTACATAGAGAAATATTAATATCGTTGCACATGGCGTATATAAATTACAAAGTTAATAATTTTGTAAATTGTTATTGTTAAAATGTAAAATGTAAAGCAAAAACTTTGTAAAGCAAAAACGAGATAAGTATAATGAAAGTTCAATGATCCTTAAATCAAATATCAGATTATATAAAGATGGATAATATAATAATTTAGAAAGCCAATCATGATAACACTACAAGTCTCGATATTGCGCTTAAAAATTATTTATCTTTATACATCGGAATAATTTTTATTTTTTTAAATCAAATATTTGAAATATGCTGTTATGTCCGAGTCTACATCGTATACAAACATTCGATCTTATGTAAATACGAGTAAAATATCAATTTGGTGTGTTATTCTTTGGTAACTCGAATTGTTATTATTTATCAAAAATGTATAATAATCTAACGTCATAATGATTTGGGAAAGAAAAATATAGATATCAAGTGTATTTGTATATGATAAAAAAATGTATTTATAAGAAGGAAAAAAGAAGAAGAAGAAGAAAAAAGCTCATCTCATTTCATTTTTATGTCAATAGATTTTTATTTCAATAGGATTGAAACGTATAATCTTACATATTCATCTGGGGGAGAGTGATAAATTAATTCAAGGTAAACTAAAAATACATTCGTCTGGAACGAAATTCCATACTTAAGTATCTAGCATATTGGATCATACAGGTATTTCTATATTCATATTCACTGTTCATAAAATTGCGTATTAACATGAAAATAATGTATTTCGTGCCTGTATAAATAAATGAGATTTCCGGTATCACGTAAGATTCAATTGTTTAATAAGACGGTTTTGAGATATGAAAATATGTAAATTTATATGTAATTTATCATCACTTTGCCCGTGGGCACGAAATTAAATTAAAATTAAATAAAATATTAAAATAATCTATGAAATGTGAAAGTCGTTGGAGCTGTCAACCATGTAATTGCAATATACATTCATGATATAAAAATTATATTTCAAATTTATTTTATAACTGCTAGTATCAGTTGGATGAATATAGTCTGTATTGTATTGCCAGTACCCATTATTAACCAAGTTATATAATTCCATGAATAAATAATAAGTAGAGTACGAACTGATAAAGTAAGCTTGCATTTAAGCTAAAAATATGTTTGAGCAATGAGTTTTGAGGTAGGTAAATGAGATTACGTTGCTTGGCTCGAAGCAGTTTAATCGGGTAATTTATTTTCTTGTATTTTTATATTTAATGTGTTTTAGAAAGAAAGTGGACAATGTTATTGATTTAGTAGGTAGTAAGTAGGAAGTATGCGCGCTGCACAAATATCGATTTCCATCACTAGGTTGCTCGAGCGATTTTGAAATTCAATGTAAGAATGTTGAAAACAAGCTAAGCAACTAAGTTAGCCTTATCGATATTTCTTCACAAAGTACATATGTAAAACAATTAATTTTCTCTTGACGAATATACGGTTCGTCGTCTACACCTCGTATGCTTAAATTTATGATGTCTCGCCACTCGACAATTACATATTACATTATCTTAATATACGCGTGTAAATGAAGAATATAAATAAATTTGTGCATTGTATTGTGAGTTATTTGGCTAAGCATTAGCAGGGCAAAGCCACGACGTGATTATCGGAAACATTGGTAAATAAAAAAAAAAAAAAAAAACAAAAAAAAAAAATAAGGGGCGTGGACTTGATCAAAGTCGTGAGCAACCAATAGGCTTATGCATCGAATTCACAAATAGAACGAGTGCGATACTTACGAGACCTTCCGGGGCGATGGCGAGCTTAGGGGCTCCGGGGAAGGGGACGCCATTAAACAGAATCTCCATGGCGTATTCCCCGGCAGTTAGCTGCGGCATCAGGAGTTTGTGTCTGTTGTTGGCTGTCGTCTCGAAGTTGAGCGGCTGCTCGGCGATGCTCCCGGAGAGTTCACCGGGCCCCGCCTCCGCGGTATCGAAACTAATCTTACTCCCGGGGGCGAGTTTAAGTCGTCCGAGTTCGTCGCACAGGGCCGTCCAGCCCCCAATGACGCGCAGATTGCGCGAGTCGATTATACCCGGGTGCCAGGGCGAACCCGGCAGCTGTTGACCCGCGCATACGACCCGGACGTCGAAGAGGCCGGGCTCCGCCGGCACGTAGCTGACATTCCAGGTACCGGGGCTCGGGCCCGCCTCGACACTCGGCTTCGCCATGCTGTCGGGCCCGTCTACCTGAACGCTCGGCGGACTCCTACATCCCGTGACGACGAAGTGCGCTGGCTTGCCAACGTGGCCCTGGAGGAGGCCTTGGCCCTTGGCTCGCGCCTGACCCCCGGCCTCGGCCACGCACATGAGGGGACTTCCTGGGACCGGGCAGCCCCCGTAGCTCACGTTTATCGCATAGGAGCCCGCGACGCTCGGCGAAAACTCCACCATCTCCGTGCCGTCGTTAAGGGGACGCAGCTGCAGACCTACTTCCTGACCCAGGGGGCCCGTCGCCCTCACGTCCAGCTCCGCAACTCCGGCATCCGCCGTCGCAACTGCAACGAGACGGTCACACTCTCAGGATACGCTAGTGGCTCTCCCCCTCCACCCGGGGCACTTTCTCTCGTGCGCGAGGGCGACCGAGGGGGGCTCACACGCCTATGCGATATGTTACTTTCGAAATTGGCGAAGTTCACTTGGATATTATTCATTCGATCGCGTCTTGCAAAACGAGAGTTAATAGCCACGCTTTTATTGCGGCTTACTTCTCGATCTTGAGCCTTCGCGATCGTAATTGCAGGGGATCGCTCGACATTACGAATGCATAATGAAAGAATCGTCGCGAAGAATGCTCGCGATAATGCAAAGCAAATTGTTCTGGCGTTTTGTTGCTTTAGAAAGGCGACATTTATATTAATAGTACTAATGTTTGCCGAGAGAGACAGCAAAACAATTCGTAAGCATTTATATAAAGTAATCGCCATGGGGATTAGTTGAAATATGGAAATGCGGATAAATAAATAATGGCGTAAGGGAAGAATGGGAGCACGTGTGATGGGGTGGTGGTTGGGGTGAGGGGGTGGGAAAGGTGGAAGGTGGAAGAGGGGAAGGGGGAGGGTGGCGAGAGAATAAACAGGCACTTAGGCCATGATAAATAGAATGGACAGAATAGAACGAAATTCAGAGCGGCGTTCTTACATAAAAAGGAAACGATGACTAATGAGCGACATGTAAATGCGCGTGCGAGACACGACAAAGAGAGGCAATGAGAAGAATACGGCCACCATGCTGAGTATTGTTGGTTCACGCAAGTATTTACAGGAAATTATGAGACCGACACTAGCTTGAGTCGACGAGCGAGTCCGAACGTTTGAATTGACAGTGGCCAGAAACAATGCGATTGTCGTAAGATGCAAAAAAAATCTTGTCATTGTTGTTTAGGCTATTAAATGCAAAAATGAGGCGGGTTGGCAAAATAATGCAATAACCGATGTTGTGTTAGGCTTACTCGTGATTTCAATCGAACGAATATTAATTTACTCACTTGATTGGAATATTCATGATAAATTTGTTTCGATAAAAAACTAGTTCGGATAAATGATAACTTAGAACAGTACTTCCGAAAATCTCTATAATTATTATTTAAATTTTTAATACATGTATTTCGTTAAAAAAAAAACTTATACAGTCGCAAGAATTTCCGTAATGTTGATATTTATCTATTTTCATATTTTGCAAATTAATATAAATTATTTGTTTTTAATCGAAATAATTGTGAAAGCCTTTCCATTCAAAATTATGTACATTTTGACATTTGTACAATAGCATTGGAGAAAAAATTTAATCAGCTAAAATTTTAAATACCTACAATCATAATTTTATCTAAGAACGCTAAAATAATAATTAGAAGATTATAGAAATGAAGAATGAATATCAATTTATTGTTATTATTTCAAGCATTATTACATGCATTTATAATTTAAAGATAAATTACTATTAAAATGTAATCGTTTGTGTACTCTTAAGATCATCTAGAATTCTTTAAATACTTTGTCTCTATTATAATCTGTTACGAATATAGTTTAAAACGAAGTAATACCTACATAAACATATTCATTCATGTATTGATCGATAAATTATATATTTTTATATGAAAGAACATACGAATTTAAAATTATACAATAATTAATTATTCTGCCAAACCTTAATTTAATTAAATTCAATGTTTAAAGATGATTTTGTTCATCTAAAAGAAATTTCAAATTTGTTATGCTTTGTATTTATGTTATGTATGTTCTATTCCAGAATACAATTAATACACTAAATTAATCATTTATTGCTTTTAATTTTTCGTAAATGTGTTTTAATATTTTATAATTCATATTGATTAAGAATTGAAAGGACAAAAAACATTTTTACACATTTAAGTTTGTATGCTTGATAAATTAAGCATTATTTTTTTCTTCTATTTTTTGTTTTTTTTTGTTTAATACGAATGTCATAATTCCTAATTATAATTATAATTATAAATATAATTTTCCTTCTATTTGATTTTTTTAAAGTATGTAGATATTAATATTACAATTAATAATCGTAATATTATAATTAAAGAAATTAAAAATAATAATTAAAGTATAATTAAGTAAACTATCAATAATATTACGATTAAGTGTAAAATTATGTAATGTATTTAATATTAAAAATATATAATATATAATTAATAAATAAGAAATAAATTAAAATTATAACAATTTATAAATATTATATTAAGATTGCCATAATAATAATTAAACTATTATAAATAGTTTATTTTATGAAAATAAAGAATAGAAAACAATTTTAGTGTAATTAAAAAATATGCCAAATAAATAAAAATTAATGTATACGTGTGTACGCGCGCGGGCATGTCCCGTATATATGTGCATTGGGGGGGGGGGGGGGGGAAAAAACACTATTAAAAATATTTAAATAAATAGATGAAAAAAAATTAAATCTGTAACAATATCCATAGGAGTGAAGTGACTTTAATAACTCAATTTATTTATTTAGATTATGCATGGCAGCTTAAAATAAATAAATTTTGCTTTGAAATTTAAAGCAATTTCAAATAACCTTCGATTATAAGTGTAAATTATCACTTACTTTTCAGGGCAAAATGATCATGAACAGAGATCGTTGTAGGACCCAGCTCTTGCAATTTGATTTTACTTGCATCGAATGCCTGACAGAAAAATGGCGAACCTAGTACGGGTTTAGCTCCGTGCAAAACGTCAATTTTATAAGTTCCTAAAAAGCAGAAATAATATCGACGTAACAATGATAAGTTTGAAGATGCAAAATAATTGAAATGTAAAGATGTACATACCGACGGAATTAGTTGTGAATTCTGCCAATAAATTTCCATCCCTATGTTGATAACAGCGAACAGGAACGGCGTTGCCTTGTGGACTACTTATCACGACATCGAACTCTTTCACTGGACGTCCGAGTGTTTCGATGGAAAAGGATGTGACTTTGCCAATGCACGATTGATAAAGGCCTAATCCAGTTGCGCTAACTTCCCTTCCACCGGCTGGACCGCGTACAGCTATTTCAAGTGGGCTTCCTGAAATAAGATGATTTATTATCGTTTATATAGATATGAATTTATCGTTTAAATAGATATGAATAGTTGTTTATGAAATTTCAATACGCAAGTCTTTACCTTGTATATGTAAATCATTATATTTTAGGTGAATACGGTGAGGTGCAGCTCGAGTGGGATGAAAAATAATTTCATAGACTCCATTGTCTTTTTCTCTTACTAAGCTATCAAGATCTGCGCCACCGCAACGCACGTGTGCGGTAAGTTTGCCGGGTCCGGCATCTTTGGGGGCAACAACTATCGGCAATGAAAAGCAGATAAAGCTTTAAAAATTAGCCGAAAGACAAATTTTGCAAATAGAAATCAAGGAAGGCTATCGTAATATTAACAAACCTATAATTGTTTCAGGTCGATGGCAAATAGCATCGGTTATTTCCTGAATTATTACTTTATTTGGATCGAATGCTTGTAAAGATTGCGTACTTATGATCTTTGAGCCTTGACTGAAGACAACGTTATATGTTCCAACGTATCGTGTTCGTATTTCAACGCGATACAAGTTAGAATCGAGTTTTGTTAAATTGCACGGTATGATAATTCCATCGGGTCCTGATAATCAAACAAAAAACCCTCAATGAAAATCATAATAAATTGCAGGATGATGAATAGGCGAACGAGGTAAATTTACCGGTCACTTCGGCCGTCACTGGTCCAATCAAGCCTGCCGTATCTAAATCCAAATATGCAGTATTGCCTACTCGGATGATCGATGGGCCATCTAAAATACTTTCTATAACAGGACAATTAAAAGGACTCCCTAAAAATGGATAAATAAAATTATAATATTGTCGTTGAAGAGGATTAAATAGTTAAAAATGGATTAAATTGAGTTGATCGAAAATTCCAAGTACCAGGTACATTGTCGTCATTAAAGCTGATATTTACGTAATGAGTGCTTGACGTTTGAGGTACGAATGTTACGTCATACAGACCACGAGCACACGCTACAACTTCTGCTTTGACGGTGTTGTTTTCCGTACTCACGACAAGTTCTAAGGTTCCTTCTCCAGCTTGAGCAGCGTCGACGGTAAAGGTTGTGGCTTGGCCCAGTAAAGCTTCGCTCAGACCAGAAACGTGCACCTTCAAACGTGCAATTTCAAATATTTGATAAAAATTTCACAATTGTAGTTAATAATACAAGTAAGTATTACTTTCATTATTCGAATCTCAAGTTCTGATTTCATTAATTTCTTAGTAGGTTAATCTGATGATTTATTGCTTAGTTATAAGTACGTATTATGATATCATTTATAACAATAATTGAGTAGAATTTACAAATTTAATGAATGAAAATTTTTCGTTGGATCTAAGGAAACTACAACCGGTCGTTATGTGAGTTTAATTAAATGAATAAAATGATAAATTGATAGGTGTCAATTTGAAAATTTGATTGAAAATTCATTTCACATATGGTATTGCCACTATTTTATATTATATTACAAAAAGACTATCTTTAACAAATAATTCAAAGCTCGAAGAAATTTTTAAGTCTGACGTTAGATGATATAATTTCCTAGTATTAATTTTCTTACAGTAGTCCTATTAAAGTAGTAGTCCTTATTAAATTTAACATTGTTTCATTTGCTTTATAATATACGATCTACTAATGGCGAATTGTATAAAAATTAATAAACATGACATATGACATTTATATGTTTGTGAAATATCATAGCCCTTTTCGGTAGGCTATCGATGTAAGCATGTGAATATGAAAACTCGCACCGAGAGGTAAATAAAATAATATAGAAATAGGAGCAAAAGTGTACGTACCTTAGTAACATCGTAAACGTTGCAGGCAAATGGCGATCCTTTGATTGGTTCAGAATCCACGAGGATGCTAATGTTATGCCTTCCGACTTCGGTCGGTGTAAAGGTGATTTTGTACTTGAGATCCAGTGGTTCGATCGTGATCGGCAATGCGATGTTCGAAGGCGGCGTAACTATGACGTCGCATTTGCTCGACGGAGTCTGTGGGTCCACGGTAAAGGTTATCGGTAATTTGACAGCGGCCATCTTCAAATTATGACCTGATATAAGAGTTTGGCCAAGACCGAGTACTTGACAGGTGAACGGCGAGCCAGGTACAGGTTCACCGTTGAATCGAACGCTAAGGCTGTGTAGGGCCGCCTCCTGCGGTTTGAAATTAACTCGAAATTTCGCGTTCCCTTCGCTTTGCACGAAATTTGGTACATTTTTACCATTTATCGCAACGATAATTTCGAGATTGCCCGCTCCGGCTTGACTGGCATTAACTGAAAATCATGAAATTGCGAATTTGTATTTCCATTTAATCAAACGGTTGGCCATTCTTCACATGGTTACTTACTGCTAAAGTAAACAGGCTTGCCAACGACTCCACTATTAATATCCGTGACTTTTACTTGATTAGCATTGTAGGCCTTAACTAGGAAAGGACTACCTTGAACATGAGCGCCATTTAATTTAACTTGAACACTGTGATCACCTAAGAAATGTGCACGCTGATTAACTATATCGAATGCGAACTACTTCGCAGTGTAATGTCGCGCAGACCTTCCGGGATACACTTACCAACGTCTTTTGGTGTGAAACCGGCGGTGTATAATCCAGGCGCGGTTTGATCGATTTGGACTGGTAGACTTTCGCGTGTCGGAGCAAGAACATCAACCATAGGAGCCGAATCGGCCTCAATGACAAAGCTCGCCGTTCTGTTGACCGACACTTTCTCCAGAGTTTCGGTAACCAATACCTTGGCCGCATCGTTAACCTTCGTAAATATTTATATTTTAGGAAAAAAAGGGGTATTCTAATTGAGATAATTTTTTAATGATTAAATATAGAATATGACGAGGGCATTATTGGCGATCGAACTAATTGTTATTATTATAATTTCGATGCTTTTATGCGCATAAAGTTACGATTAATCATGGCAATTTTCACTTTATCGATAAAGTCATTTTGAACGAAACAGTTAATATTGTTATGGTATTAAAGAAGGGTTCATTCGCATAATTGCTTGAACTGTCGTTCGCGAAGATCCGATGAATCGATCATTAATTAGCAGCTTAAAAAACAATTCATTATATAATAGTTATATCGTGATGTATTAATGGTTTTGCTCTTAAAAAGATAAATAAATGGATGAATGTAATTATTATCCAAATACATAAGGAAATATTTTTCTCGTATCTATTGCCTATTATCGTAAAGATTAATATACTATAATGTAATGGCAATATGTCAATATAAATATATGACGTGACAATTAATTATTTAAATATAGTAAATTTTTTCATAGAGCATAGTACTGAGAGCAAATGTCAAATTCGAATTGCGCTGAAAAATTATAAATTGCCAAAAGCGCCAATTATATAGACAGTAGAAAGTGTATAACTTTGCGCGGCCATTAAGATCGTTTACTCTAGTTTTATCGATTAAGCTCGCGTGTAAAATGAACGGTAAAGTGGACAATTGTAAAAATCCAATAAACTTGATGATTTCGGTGCGTCTTAGCTGCCCTGAATATTAACGGCGCAATAGGTTTTGTCGATAAAGCGACTGGTACCTGACAAGTGAAGGGGCTGCCAGGCACATCTTCTCCGTTGAAGCGCAGATCAACCGTGTGAATGATGGGCTCGCGGGGGGTAAAAGAAATGGCGTAGGTGTGGGGCCCTTGAGCTTGGGCCGAAGTCGGTACTCGTCCTCCGTTCACCGTCACCTCCAAATTTCCCGGTCCAGCTTGACTCGTTTCCACTTGTCCAGTCAATTAACGGGGCTCGATATAATTATTCTCATAGGAGGTACGGATACGTTTAATAATGTTATTGGCGATGATATGGCTTACCGAGGAAGGTGACCGGCAATCCGATGACTCCTTTCTTCGTATCTTTGACCTTGATGGCAGCGACATCGTAGACTTTGCAACTGAAAGGACTGCCGAGGACAGGTAGATTGCGATGGCTAACCGAAATTCGGTGCTCGCCGACGATACGTGGCGTGAATGACACTGTGCATGTCGTGTCTTTGTTATCGGTGACTTGAGCAGGCACGGCCTGTCCGTTGGGTCCTATCAAGTCCGCCGGTTGTTAGTTGTTTAAATTTTAAACTAAACCACTATACTCGTTACGGAATACCCGTTAATTGGGCGATTTTTCTCGGCCAGGGCTTTACGACAAGCCGATTATTTCCCGAACATGTTCTTTCCTTTGAATTCTCCAAGCTCTCGTTTTAACGCGATTTTTCGTTCCCATTTCGATATAAACAAGCCAAGTTTGTTTTATTTTTTTTTTTATTTTTCATTTTTATTTTTTTATTTACGGCCAAGCAAACAATTATAAGTCAACATAAGCGTTAATTATCTTTATTTTTCAACGAACAATTCTCACGAGTAAGTATTTCTTATTAAAATTATTAATATTATCTTCCACGTGAGAATGCATCTTGAAAAGTATTTGCTTTCTGTTTTATAAAGCACTTAATCTTACTTGCCAAATATTTTACTATGTTAAGAGACATATAGAAGAAAATAATAAGAAAAATATTTTAGCTGATTGATTATTAATTAATATTAATATCATTGGTACGCAAACCACAGAGGCACTTGTTCCTATGAGCGGGTTATTATATGTTTATATATATATATATATATATATTTATGTGGGTATGTGAGTGCGCGCGCGCGTGTGTGTGTGTGCATGTGCGCGCGTATCTACATATATATATATACGCGCGTGCACACGCACGCACAACAAATATGCGCATAAATATATGTATATGTATATTTATTTATTTATTTATATATTCATTTATGTATGTATGTACGTATGCGTGTTTGCATTTTATGGCGTCGATGCATATATGTAAATATATCGATTGAAAAGCAATTGGGGGAAAGGAATTATGGGTGGGATGTGCGGCACCCACAAGCAATTAACAGCATGATTAATGGTACTATAGTGTAAATGTAAGTGGCGATGGTTGGATTTATAATGGCGGTCCTATTTTTTTCTTTCTTTTTCCTTTTTTTTTCTTTCTTTTCCTTTTGAGGAGCCATAAAATGATTATGTATTTTAAATGCATCGCAAATGCCTAAGCAGGATAATGTAATAAAGGGAAATTAGCCTGGGCGCATGCACGATGATGATGATGATGATGATGATGATGATTTTAATTCGTATTAGTACACTATAGAGATAGCTTTATAAGGGAATATAACCCATACCCATCACCGCTTAAAATTTGTTCATGTGCATCCGTTAAACTGCGCGATTATTATGGTTAGGACAACGAAAGATGTGATTGTTCAAAAGATGTCTAGTAATGTCGTAGTCTGAAAGTTGGCCGACCTGTAACAAATAGAGAGAAACGGCTCTGAAGGCGAGGAGCGTTATGGGCTCTGGGGACCTGATAACGTAAAATCACAAACACTGGGCAGCACAATACGTACACATAAAGACACATTGTCAGACAGACAGGCAGACACAGAGGGAGCGAGAGTGTGCGAGAGTGGTGGACACAGATATAACGGCGAGTTGACAGAGTAGTTAGAGACAATAAATAGAATAAGTGGATGAGAGTAAGAAGCTCGGGACGAACCTTCAACGTTCACCTCCAAGTCCTCCAAGCTACCACTGACATTACTGAGAGTGAGGGCGCTCTGCCGGCCGAGGGGTGCGCTGCTCAGGGCTTGGCCACTGACCGTGAGGTGGGCATCGGGGGCGACCCGAGCTATAATCGGGCAGCCGGGGACGGTGCGCTTGTTGAAGGCGATGTTGATGAGATGCTCGCAGGCCTCGAAGGGAACAAAGCCAACGGAGAATCGGGCGTTGCCTTGAGGCGTCACTTGGGTCGGAATGTTCTGGCCCTGAGCAGCGATGGTGATCTCGAGGTTGCCTTCGCCGGCTTGGGATGCGTCAACACTGAAGTGCTGGGCTTGGCTGACGCTCGCGCGGCCCACGGGGCCGATTACCACGCGCTCCGCGTCGAAAGCTTTCGCGAGGAAGGGCGTGCCGTTAACCGGGTGTCCGTTGTACTCGACGCTTATCGCGTGGACGCCGACGTCGCGGGGCGTGAACTCCGCGGTAAAGCCCGTGTGAATGTCTCCGGTGACCTTGACGGGGAGCTCGCTCGCGGGGCCGCGAACCGAGACGGCGAGCTCCGCGCTTCCGGTCCCGTCCACCGCCATGTGGAAGCTCGCGGATTCCGAGACGGGCAGCAGCTCGAGGTGCGCGAGGTTTAGACTGACGCGACTCGTGTCCGAGACGAGGCAGACGAAGGGGCAGCCCGGAACCGGCTCCCCGTTGAACTTGATGTCGATGTAATGGGGCTTGGCTGCTTCGGGCGTGAACGATACCAGGCAGCGGCCACCTCCCACCACTTGCACGTGATTCGGCACCTCACCCTCGTTTATCGAGATCTCCAGTTGACCCTCACCGGCCGCACTTGCGTCCACTAAACGTTGCATGCAAGCAGTAATGAGTACTCGATTAATCACTCGATGCGGTACAATATTTTGATATCGCCCGCCACCACCATTCTCTATCTACGACATTTCGAAAATGTGACCCGCGCTTTATTATCATCGGCTGCCCGGATATTGTGCAGGTTGAATTTCCACTACAATGACATTTTAATTGAAATAGAGATATTCAACGTAAAACGTCAAGGTCGCGTGACAATTTTCACATCCAACCTCGAATACCGGCTAACCCATTGCTTAACATTATTGAATAAATTCAGTTAATTAAATTAACGATAATGACTTTCAAGATCATTCGATTATTAATTGATGGATACTAATGTCGGAATTTCATAACGGGAGTTTCTAAACTAATTTTGAATTTGAAGTGATAGACTCTTAAGCCTCCATTGAAAAGAATATTTAAGCTTCGTAAATGACGTTAATGCATTTCGTTAATGCAATGCTTAACATTAACTTTGTCATGTAATTTTCGAACGTAAATTAATCATTAATGTCGCAAATCGTACATCATATGCAAATTAATATGCCGCTCTACATTAAATAAACGACAAAGAATATATAATAAATGATAATTATGTCGAAAGCATTAAATGTATGTAAATCGCGATACGAACCTCGGAATTGGCAAGCATGGCCCACAACAGCACTTGGTACCTCTGTAACCTGGATGAGGCTACTGTTGTATACCTTGGCGACGAGGGGCCCGGCTGGCAGCTTCTGTCCGGCAATACTAACTTCCACGAGGTGGCTACCCACCTCCTGAGGCGTAAACGACACGCGGAATTCGCCATTACGACTTTGGTCCTCCTCGATACGCGCACCGATCTGTCGCTTCGAGGGCGCTGCACACAAAGTCACATTTATTACCATTATTATAATAATAATAATAATTATTATTATTATTATTATTATCATTATAATTATCATTATTATTATTATTATCATCATTATCATTATAATAATAATAATAATTATTATTATTATTATTATTATTACTACTACTACTACTACTACTACTACTACTACGAAGGTATCTCGTATTTTTTTATTCTTATAGTCTCAAGTTCATTTTCACCCGTTTTTATTATTATTAATTGGGTAAGAGAACGGTAAGAGGTGTATGATAGAATACGTAAATTTAACGTCAAATTTATTATCTAGAGCATTGTACTTTATAAGATATTTTTATTAATTTCATAATGCTTTTTTTTTCAATGAATCTCGTTTTCAGTGAACATTAGTTACGAGCTTACGAATAAAAATATCGCATCAAGAAACTTTCTATACGCATCTGTAATTAAAAGCATTAAGTGCATTAAATTTTTTCAAGATGCTCAATTCAATATAACGTTATTTTTATGTAACATATATGTGATTATGTAATTGTTATAATAAATACATAATGTTAAGCATTATTTAGTTCGATGAATTTTTTAAGCAATACATTTTAACGTAAATTATTTAGAATACAATGTATATGATTTAATTAGTATACATTTTATACAGCTCTGACGAATAATATTATTTATTTCTAATAATCATACATTATTATGATCCATTAAGATATATTTATATTGTTTATAATGTAATGATAATAAAATTTAATAATTGATTTCACAACATTATTTAATCAATAAAATATAAAACACATTATAAAAATATATTTATGTTTCATTAACTAAAAAGTGCAAATTATTATAGAAAAACATATTTTTTTTAATAGGATTTTGAAAACTCGATGCAAGTAATAATCTTTCCAAACGTTTTTTAGAACACGTTACATGGGGTTTACGACTTCACTTTCTTCTAAAATGTAATGAATCGTTAATAAGATATTTTCTATTGTAAAATCATAAAATTGCTTTATTTCTTGTGTACTAAAATCAGCTTTTCAAAGAAAGAACGTATGTTTTCATCTTTTTATTGTACCCAAAATAAATTTTACTATAATAAATACTATATTGTAACTACGCTGAAGAAAGCGAATGATTCGATATCAAGTGATTCTTATAAAATAGTAAATTTGTTAAAATTTCATTAAAATTTCAAGTGTTTATTACACAAATAGATTTATTGGCTGTTGGCCTGTTGGCTTGGTTAGACTGTTGGCTAAAAGAGAGAAAGTAAGTTATTTTCTTTACACGATTGTTAATTGAAAAATATTTAGAATGTTGTATTGAATCCTATATTTCAACATTGTATTGAAAAATTGAAAACTTCATTGTAAAATTGTTGTAAAATTCTTTAATTTAAGATTATTACTTATGCAAGAATGTTTGTAAAAAAGTTAGAATAAAGTATGTATATTGAAATTTAATTTTTTCAAATTACTTCCATTTAATGGAGATTTCTAACTTTATGAATAATTTAGTAATACCATAAAAACGACTATTTCGAATATATAGACATAGAGGTATAGAAAAATGTTTAAATTATGAAATTTTATCGAATTATTTAATATCTTAAAGTTTATACATGATCATCTTTTTTTTTTTTTTTTTTTTTTTTTTTTTTTTTTATAAAAAACAATTCATTTATAACAAAATAATTTGTTATGAATAAAATATATGGTAAAGGTATAAGTATTTTCAGGAAGTAATTATTTAATTATAAGTTATTATTTGAATTAATGAAATATATTAAAAATATATACGAACGAAAGGTTTACCGCTCGGTAAGAAAATATATTTTATATGTTTCAGTGCTTAGTTTGTATAAATAAATGTAAAAAAAAAAGTGTGAAAAATAAAATATCACATTAAATAATTATTGTATTAAAAGAATAATTTTATTTGATTATCGTGCGGTTC